CTGGATTCAACCTAGAGAAAATTGGAATTTTCTCTGGATTCATGATAACGGATACCATAGATGAACTACATAAATTTGTTCCATTATCACTGCTTCGTATTCATGGTCTGGACCAAACACCTCTCTACATCTGTTTTTTGAAGGCTCCTCGATTAGAGAAGTTCCTTGAATTCTTGAAGCTTCTGTCCAATGTTTTTGGCTTAAACTGGAGCCCTTGCGTGGGTAGTTCCTTGGATGATCCACTTAATGTCCATGAGATTGAGGGGAATGAAGTTAAGGAGTGCATTGTTTTTAATGGTGATTCATTGTGTCTCCTTTTAGATGAGCATTTATTGCAGGGGGACTTACGCTACATAAATACAAGGATGCTGTTGCAAATAATGGTTCAGCAACAATTGGTACCACTCATCATGATGAAGTTGTAGTGTTTACAGATACTGATGCTTTGTTTTGGCATTTTGCACTATAATGCAAAAATTAGAAAAGAGCCAGAGAAATTTGTGTAGTGAGAGAATTTTCCTGAATAGATACACAAATTTTCTCTTCACAATTTTCTCTAAATTTCTTTAGTACTCAGAAAAATTTCAATTTTCTTTGGTTTGAATCCAGAGAATTTCTTTGGAGAGAAGTTCAATTTTCTCTGGGACTGAAATTTCTCTAGATTGATATTGAGGGACCTTAGACATCATGAAAATATTTGATATCCTTTATACTATAAAATCATAATATCAGGGACCTTAAAAAAAATGCCCCCACTAAATATTGGTCTAGCTAAATGTGCAAGCTATACAGTATGTGGCGTTATAAAGGCTTGTGTATCATTAAGTTTCATTAGTGTTTGTATAAATAAGAAAAACCTTACTAATTTGTTATTGAAAGTTGGTTCGGCTAGAATCATCGCTAAAATATATATATATATATATATATATTTGTGACACTTTTTTTATCACTAAAAAATAACAACTAATAATATTTTTTTGTGATGAATTTTTTGACTATTATTAAAAATTAATAATTAGTGACAATTTTTATAAAAATGCTGTCAAAAAAACAAAAAATAAAATTTTGTGGTAACAATCAAAAGGACTTATTAGTATACCCATATTTCTAATATGCATTGTGTAAGAATTCATAATTTCTTTTTTTTATTCTAGTTTCCAGTAAAGTAATTAAAAAAAAACAAATAAAAAATGAAGAAAGAAATAATAAGAAATTTTTTTTTTCCAATCATTCTTCCTAATTTGAATTAGTGTTGGCTTTGAAAGAGAGACTTTCGTTAATTAGTGTTGGGTTGGGGTCTGTTGTAAATACACCCTAAGTACTCTCAATTTTTAAATATATCCTATTTAATTATTTAAAATTTTATTTTACTCTCATTACACCTTATTATTTTTTTCAAATTACCCTCAAGATAAACCCAAATAATAAATAATAAACAAACTAAAAAAATTAAATTATTTCAAATCTTTTCAATACAAAAATTAATTCTCAAATATAGAAAGAAAAACCAAACTATAAGCACATAAGTATTATAAATATAGAAAAAAACCAAACTTTTACATATGTATTATAAAACTTTTCAATACAAAAAAAAAAACTTTTACATTATAAATTATCCACAAGAATGCTCGGAGAAAAGTAAAATAAGCATCAGACACTGACAAGAAATAGTAGTTATCAAATAATGTACTATTGAAATGACAAAATAAGAACAACTCCAATAATATGTTATTGTTAATTTAATTATTGGACCATTTAATTTTGGTTAAAAAACGATATAGAAAATAATTGATGGTACTCTACAAAAATTGTGAAACCCTTTTATACGAATACTTACCTTTTTTTTATGGGTTACTTTAAAAAACTATTTTGATTATTACTTTTATCCATTATTTGATTTTGTTCTAGCTTTTTCTAAAGTTTAGGATTTCAAAATAATAAAAAACAAGGATGTTTATGATGATGGTGAGTTTTGGTAAGGTAGATTGAAGTTTTGAAGGGAGGAAGAAGAAGAAATAACTTTGATATCTTAGGGAAGAAGATATAGAGATTTGAATAGGAATAACTAATTAAGGTATGCCATGAAAAAAAAATTATTTTGAGATTTAATATGTATTATCTTTATTAATAAATATATATTAAAATATATTAACAATTAAAATTTATAAATTTAAATTGGATGTATGAGATATATTTTAGATTCAAATAGAATCCCTAAAAGAGTCTGGATTGATGAAGTTGGGACGGTTAGTGGGAAAGTAGGAATTGGAGGGTATTGGAATGTGTGGTAATTAGTAAGATCAATGTGTGGTAAGTAATATCAGTTTAATTGATAATTAATTTTAATTAACAAATTTTATTTTTATTATAGTCTAGATTTAAAGGCTGAATGTGATTTTTGAATATGATACCGAGTACCTAGTTTTGTATCATAATTGAATAAATATTATTTTATAAATAAGAAAAGCTGTTCACATCCTGTTTAAGTTTTCAACAATTTTTTATTTTATTTTTTCTGAAAAATGAGAGATTTGGAGAATGAGTTTTCAGTTAAAATTTTAATATATATATATATATAGGGTAAATTATAACTTAACTCCTTGTGATTTATCCAAAAAATACGGAGCTCCTTTATAATTTTATTTGTAACACTTAAACTCCCTATACTTCATACCAAAGTGTAATTTTGGACGAACGTAACAGAAATTATAAAAAGTCTAAATTACCCTTATTTATTTATCTAATTTTCTTCTTAATGCCATTATAAACCACCAGTCAACAAATTGTACAGTCCGTTTGGTCTTGATAGTGGCAATGACTGCAATAACATCCTTTGGAACAACATCTCCATGGTACATTAAGCAGCAGGCCATATATTTCCCATGCCTCGGATCACACTTTGCCATCATGCTTGCAAGCTCAAACACTGGATTTGTGATCTCAGGCTCAAACACTGAATTTGTGATCACATTTCGCCATCATGCTTGCAGGCCATATATTTCCCATGCTTGCACATATTGAGCAAAATTCATGCCATTTTTAACAGGTAGCAGAAGAGCTTTATTTATTTTTTATTTTTTTATATCAACCACTGGTAGCAGATGTGTTGATATTTCATTGAAACTCAATTAAAAAGAACCATAATTTTCAACTTCATGTTAACTAGTGCTATTCTAGTTTTATGTCGATTAAAACAAATAATAATGTTATGACAGATGTCACTAAAATCATGACTACCATAACAACTCCATATGAGATTTGTATGAGAAACTGAAGAATCTAGCATTGATAAGTTATCGTGTAGACACTTGAGGAGAAGGATAAATGGTGAACCCAAGCTTTGACTTCTCTCTCTCTCTCTCTCTCTATATATATATATATATATCTTCTCTCTCACTGTAACCACCATCATCAATACCATTGCCCAGCTCCGTCAAAATCAAGAACCACCCTTTACAAAGTGACATAGATGAAGCAACATGAGAGAGTGGATGATGAAAAAGAAAGAAATAGATTTGGAGATGTTTCTTTAAATGTGTGAAGTTAGTTTTTGGACAACTTTTGGTATGCCGAAACCATCTATTTCAGGAAGAAGTGAGAAAACGAGGTAGCGTAGGATGAAGTATAAAGCAAGGTGAGGAGATTGGTGAAAGAACGGGATAAAATCGTTAAGAATCGAGAAAGTTATGGGTCGAATAAATGTCGGAAACAGGAAGAGTAAGTGGGTTTGGTTGGTATGAATCCCATCAATGCTATTTCAAAAATCTAAATGTTTACACATATTAATTGTTTGATTTCACGGGATGGGTTTGTTACTAATTTGAATTATAAAAAAAAAATGGGTTTGGATAATTTTTAGAGAGAGAAGTTGTGGTGGTGATTTTGAGTGGTGGTTTTGCATGGAATAGGAAGTTGGTTGTGGATAATTTTTAGAGAGAGAAGTTGTGGTGGTGATTTTGAGTGGTGGTTTTGCATGGAATAAGAAGTTGGTTGTGGTTTTGCATGGAATATGATGGTGGTAATGTTGGTTGTTGTGATTTTGCATGGAAGGTGATGGTAATGAGATGAGAGGGGAAATAAAAGGTGATGGTGGTGGTTTTGCATGGAAGGTGATGGTGTTGTATATTTATATAATGAGAGAGAGAAAACATGATGTATATGAAACAAACAAAAGAATATTAATGCTTGAGGTAAATGAAGCCCACTCAAACCAATGCTCAAAGGATGTTAATGCTTGAGGTAAATGAAACCCATGCTCAAATACTGAATTTCGTTTAGGGGATAAATATGTTAATGTTTCGCCAAGAAATCCATGCTCTATTGCACTACACCATTTTGTGTATATATATGGCAATAAGGGTATTTTGGTCATTTGTCATATGTTTTTGGGTGGGAAAAATTGTTCCACTCACCATTCATTATCGTGCTGCACACGTTCTGTTTAAACAAACAGTTTCGTTGAAAATTACACTTTAGTATGAAGTATGGAGGGTTTAAGTGTTACAAATGAAATTATAGGGGGCTCCATATTTTTTAAACAAACCACAGAGAGTTAAATTATAATTTACCCATATATATATATTTTTTTTTTCAAATGACTATACAAATAAAATGATAAATAAAAGCAACTTTAATTAAAATGTTAAATCCTATGCAGCACAATAACGTCACAATTTTAACATAAAGAATGAAATCACTCAATATGCCAAACGTTGAATTAACATATGGCATAAACTCAACATGTCTATATGTTAAAAAGAAAAATATTTGGAATCACTTTTTGGAGATTTTCACTACCCTATAGTGATGTAGATTAATGATGTGTTTGTATTATTATTATTTTTTATTTAGACTAATCACGAGTGACAAAAAATTGCGAGAGTAATATTTTATGAAGATTTAAATCATTACAGATATGTCAAATTTGACATGTTCCATGTCAAATGTAGAGTCTACCAAAGTGTTTGTATGTAGTAGCTCTGGCAATAGCCATCTAGTCCTGGCAAAAAGTGAACTCGGCAAGCTCGTCCAACGACGTCGTTCGGAAAGCTCATCATCCGACAGCTTGTTCAGATGCATAAAACAAAAAAAATTCTGCAAGTCGAGGGTGAGGCATCTTCTCGATTCAACGCTCCAAAATCAAGTTGGATCAGAAAATCACAATGTCATGGTTTGCTCGATCCATCGCAAACTCTCTCAGACTCGACGACGATCAGATCGACAACAACAATGATGATAAAAGCATCAATGCCAAGGACGATCAGAGGCATCAATCTGATCCATCATCACCATCCGCATCCGAACGAGGAGGCGTCAAAGAAGACATATCGGAGCTCACCAAAACCCTAACTCGCCAGCTCTGGGGCGTCGCCTCGTTTCTCGCTCCACCGCCTCAATCTCCACCCTCACAGATCTCCGATTCGACTCCTCAATCGGCGACGGATCTGGAAGCCTCTGATGCTGCGGGGATTGATGGAATACGCAGCGACTTTGCGGAGATCGGAGGGAGGTTCAGGAGTGGAATTTCTAAGCTGTCTAGTAACAAAGCGGTATCTGAGTTTACGAAGATTGCTTCGAATTTTCTCCAATTGGGATCGGAGCAAGGGGATTATGGCTCCGCCCAAGGCGCTGTTGGTGTTACCGATGAAGTGGTCGCCTTTGCGAGGGATATCGCGATGCATCCCGAGACGTGGTTGGATTTTCCTCTGCCTGATGACGACGACGACGATGATGGTATGTTGTTTTGAATCGTAGAGTTTCTGAAATCAATATCTTTTGATTTTATAGTGTTTCTACTTGAAATGTGTTTCGTTCTCTGATTGTGGACTGGATTAACACACAGTGTTTGTCATTAATTGATTTTGCATTTGAGTTGGTGATGAAAATGCTGATGTCTAAGTAATAAAGTCAAGCTTCAAACATCTGCATTCAATATTTTCATAATTATTGTAATTATTGCAGAAAAAAGGAAAGGATGATATTCATAAATGAATGAGGACATCATGTGTCCTTCTTAGTTGGACTCCAAAGAGAAGTTTTGGAAGGTTTGAGATTGTGTTTGGAATGGCTGGATTTCATGAGATTGATATTTCAAAAAGGGGTTTTCAATGTTTAGAATCAGAACGGTGGGAATTCAGAGTAGAATTTGATTTGGCTAGATTTGGAAGAAAGTGCCCTCTCTTTTTAACGCCTGATTTTAAAGGAATGGGAATTACTTGAACCTAATTTAATTAACTTTAGGCAAATTACCCTCTCCTTTATATGTTACGTACTCTGTTATCAATGTAGTTTGGGAATCACGGTCTACAATTCTCGTGTTTCCAATTCTTCATCAAATCCAAGGAGAAAAAAATAAAAATCAAAACCTTTTTTTTTAAAATTCTCTTTAGCTCAACACACACACACACACACACATACACAAAAAAAGGATTAATAATTTTCCTTCTTTTTCTTTTTCCAATCCAATTTCCAAATAGATTTGGTTCAGGGTCTTTTTATCAGAATATCAAAACTCTAGGTTACTGGAAACGACACATACTTGTAATGTGATCCTTTTTTTTTTTAATTTCTTGTGAGAGGAGCAGACATTGTGAACAACTTGTTTATCCAGAACACATAGATACTACAAATGGTATCAAAGATGCATGTGCATATAAATGTATAAATATATGACCTTTGATTTAGGGGTGGAACGAACTTTTGTGGCTTAAAATAGTGATTTAAGGTTAATGGATATTTGCAAATGCCAAAGGCACTCTTAGCTAACTAGCTGCTTGGCATATACATGAGCTAGGTAGCTATGAAAAGCCATTATTTTAGGCATAAAATATAAAAAATGAAATAAACAAAAATACCTTGCACTTTGACATAGCATGCACCCTTTGAGAATGTAGTAACATTTGTGAAAGAGAACAGTATGACTTGATAAAAAATAAATAATTACATCATAAACTTAATAACTAATGTTGTAGAGGTGGTTACATTAACTTAAACCGTAATAACTAGTTCTGGTTACATAGAGGTACACGAGAGAGTAACTAGTTCTGGTTAGAATATGTAGTATTAAACCTCTAGAAGCTCAATTTTAAAAAAAATGAAACTGAAGCTTTTTTTTTGTCAATAAGCATGTTAAGATTTTTTTTTTTTGGCTGACCATCAGATAGAATTCGATGGGTACATTTATCAAACTGAAAAAATGATGGGGACATTTTCCAATGGAAGAAATAATAAACTGAGGGATCACCAAAATGGTTTGTCCCTTTATATATTTGTATTGATCGTGAAATGCATGTTAATGTTCATTGTGGATTGTTGCCTCTTTGTAATTCCAGAAGAAAGAGACTTCACATATAAATAGTTTGAGAAACTTTAAGGTGGCTTTGCTGGAGATCAAAGTATTTAATTGACCAGAATTTTATAATGTTGACATAATTTGATGCCGATTCATGTGAGTTCGACGAAGGTCCAGAATGTGCTTGTTAAAGGAGGAAAGGAAACAGTCAAATTATTGGCAAGTAGCCAATTCATGTGAGTTTGGTGGTTCCACTTAATGTTTTGTTTGTGAGGTAGAAGTGCAAGCTAAGATTTGAAACTTCTTTAGGCAATGGAAAGAAAAAGGTTCCTTCGATCTTGACTTACATGCTTGTCTGTTTCAGCTTTGTTTATTTGTTAACAGGGTCTGATACTGAGAATTATATGAAATGCAGTCTATTTATTTTAATCTGGCTGAACATATATGCATACTCTCTCTACTATGCCTTCTTCATACCAATAGTGTGGAGGAATAGGAATATGCAATTAATCCCTCTTAGAGCATTTATGTTTATATTCTATATGATTTGTAATGATATCAAACATCTTATGATTATTATTTTTTGCCCTTTTTTCCCCTCCTCCCAGTGTTTGACATGTCTGATGCCCAACAAGAGCATGCTTTGGCTGTTGAACGTCTTTCACCAAGATTAGCTGCTCTTAGGATTGAACTTTGCCCAGGCTATATGAGTGAGGACTGCTTTTGGAAGATTTATTTTGTACTCCTGCATCCTAGACTCAGTAAAAATGATGCTGAACTTTTGTCAACACCCCAGGTATTTCAGTTTCACGAAACTCAGTCACCTTTTTTTTTATTTTTTTTTATTGTCTTTATTGTCTTGGCAAATCATACACACCCTCTCAGCTTGCTCAAAATAGAGGGACACCCACTCAAGGTTTTGAAGTGACACTGATATTCCTTACTTTACATGACAATATGTAGACACCATCTCTTTTATCGGTTCTCAATGTCGAAGACAGAAAGTTCTGACATCATGATCTTGAAAAATTTAAATTTCCAACTTTATCCTTCTTTAAAAAACCAATTTAGGCTAAGTTTGGCATCTTCAAAAAAAGCCAAAAAGTTACTATCCTATTTAAGTCACATCATCTTATTTAAGTCATATCATCTCTCTACCGCATTATTTCAAACCCAACCTATATTTCATAAAAAGTCAAAAAGTGCACTTATTTAGAATATCTCAAACAACCCCTTAATGTAAGTTGCATATTTTTATCCAAATTTTACATGAAATTAATTTTTGTTTTCAACCCCCTCTAATAGTATCTTGCCACATCACCACTTCAGGCAACAAATGCTGAATCTTTTGACACTTAATCCTCCTCACCCCTGCAGGTGTGGGACTTGGGCTAGGCGTTGTTCTCTATAGTAACTTAGTAAGAGATGCCTTGGAGCCCTGAGCCTGCCTCGTTCCAATTTGGCCTATTTGGGAAGGCTATTTTGGGCTAAAATAGCCAATAAAGACAAAATAGGTTAAAATAGTCAATAAGACAAAATATTTGGGAAGGCTATTTTGGGCTAAAATAGCCAATAAAGACAAAATAGGTTAAAATAGTCAATAAGACAAAATATCACATCTAAACCATAATTATTTTACTTTTTTTTCTTATAACCATAAAATCAACTACAAAAAAAAAAAAAAAAAAAAAAAACAAACAAACAACAAACAACTTCCCAAACACAATGGGGGCAAAAAAAAAAAAATCTCTAACACAACTTTTTTAACCAGGCTAAAATGGTTAAAAAGCTAATTAAAATAGCTAACTTTCCAAACGAGGCCATTGTTGGTTACCAAGTCTGATCTTGCTTGCCTACAGTAAAATTCTAATAAATATTTTGCATAGAAAAATACTAACAATATGGAAGTAGCCCATGAAGCACGGATACCAATACAAGATACATATACAATACGATACGGAGATAGTGATATGACAAAATCTGAAGAAAAAAAAAAAAAAGAGAAGAAGATATGGGTATGACCAGAATATATTGAGTAGGTATTTGGGATAAACTAAAAAAGTGTATTTTTTTTACCTACATACATTTATTTGGGTCACATCAATCAATATCTTCTCTCTATTTTTTTAACCATTTTATCTACTTTTCTACACATTTTTTTTTAATAAAAAATCAAAAAGTGCACTTATTTAGAATATCCTAAACCACCCCTGAATTTTTATTTTATTTTAAAAATTCCTCTATAAATTTTAATATTGCATTATAGTTTATACATGAGCTCAAAGAATGATAAAAACTTTCTTTAGGTATTAGATATTAGTTTAAGAGACAGTAGTCAATTTACATTTATCTTTTATTTATTTTATTATTATTTTTAGTGAGTCCTCTAAAATTTCAATTAAATATCAAGCCTAATCTATTTATATTACCCTTATTCTTTTTTCTTTCACACTTGGGTACTGAAAAGAAGTGGAATGGAATGGTATTTCTATCAAAATATACATTCCCATGTTTGGTTTTGTTGACTAAAAAAGACAATGAACAATGTGTTATGCTAAGTGACTTTCGGTGATTATAATATGCCAATATGCCAACAATTCCCATGTTTGGTTTTGTTGACTAAAAAAGACAATGAACAATGTGTTGCAAATGGAATTGTCATTCACCATTTTAATGGAATGATCGGTCCATTCCATTCCATTCCATCTCATTCCATTGAATAAAATAGAGCATTAAAGTGTTTTATGCAAAAATATTGTATTTTAGTTTATATGCTAATTTAATTGTTGAAACTCGATTTTAGTAATCTATATACGTTTTATATAATTACTTTCTATAAAGTATGGATATGGTTACATTAAAGATATGTTAATTCAATAAATTTGAAAAAGTAAGGTACTACCTTAATCTCACTATTTTCTTATTTGATTAGAAATATGAAAGTATTGATTATTACTTTTGTATTTATTCTACTAATTATACTCCAATAGTATGCAAAAATTATTAGAATATAGTTCGATTGGATTATGTGACCTGGAGTGTTTGAAAAGTATTTGATACTTCTTGAAATTAATTTAAAGTATTGGATACATTTAGAAAGTATCGATGCCACGTATCTGTAAGTTTCGACATCCGATATGGGTATGATACAAATACGACTCTTTTTTAGAAGTATCTGTACTTCATATGTAGTAGACTAGTGGTTCAAATAGTGAGATGTTGAGGGTTCAATTCTTGTAATGACCTTAACATGTTCAAGAGGTTAAATAATTATATTAAAAAAAAAAAAAGAAAAAGAAAAAGAATTTAATCATATATTTTTATATTTATATAAAATCGAGCTCGATCGGGCGTTTAAGTGGCAAATTGGCAATCCGAAAGGAATTCCAACTTCAAGATCTCTTGACCTATAAATGATCAAGTTTTACTTCTTAGCAACTCTAACAAAATTAGATTCCAAGAATATTTCTTTGTGCAAAGTGCAACAACGTATATAACATAAAGAAGTGTAAGAGCATTTGTTTTATAATTTGTTTAAAACTAAAATACATGATATTATACTCCTCAAACTGGAACAAATGAGAAAGTTCGAAAAATAATCAGGCCTTAAAACTTAGCCGAACTTGACCCTACGGGCCTAGATACTAATCAACACTCCATGATAACCAGGATGGGCTGCCGCTTACCCCCTGGCCTTTGTTTCCTCACTCATTTCTTTGCTTCGTCTGGAACCCATCGGATGCCACTGACGAAACAGACTCCCTCCACCACCTCCTGCAGGCTGCATGGCCATAACTCATCTGCCCACACCCTCCACAACCATTGCAACCCCCTAAACTTCTTATTCTCACTCATATATTTGCTTTGCCCCCGACCCATTGCAAGTTTGCAACCCACCAGTGATCACCGCCACATAACATCACCACAACCATAACCACAACCACCTCATCCACGGCTACAATCCATTGGCGCACATCCTCCACAGCCACTGGATCTCCCTGTCAAACTCTTCTTCAACCCATTAACACCCAAACCCATTAATCTCTCCTTTCTCCTCCTATCCTCTGTAACAGTGGTCGATGAAGGGTAGACAGACTTGTCAAAGATGTGATGATATTGAGTTGTTCGTCCAAGGAAATTGGAGTTTGTTGTCAATCCATTTTTTTGGGTCTTAATTGATTGTTGACATCAATTTAGTTGTGTGTGTGTTTATATACATCTGTCCATATATATATGCACTAATAATTCTCTTTCTTTGCATCATCTTGATACTTTTTCAATAAAGTTTGTTTATTTATCCATGGTGCACTTGCGGGAAATTCCTTGCCGAGGGCCTGTACACCCCTGGAGATTAGTCGGGTTTTGATCCCCCCAATGCCAATAAAAAAAAGTTTATTTATCCAAAAAAAAAAAAAAGTTCTCTTGGCTTCTGCAAATTTTCTCATCAAATGGATGGTTTATGATGGGTTTTGGAGGCCATGGATGGTGGCGGTTGCTGCAGAATTATGGTGGTTGTTGGTGGGAGTGGGGGTGGTTTAACGAGTCTATAACTGAATCAAAATATTAAAATTTGAATAAAAGATCTGGGCTAAAACAGTTGTATTTGTCATTTTTTTTACCATCCATCAACCACTACTCTCACGGGAAATTGTTATTTCAGAAACTTGACGGTTGTCTTTATGTTTGTCAAAAACTTAAGGTGGTGTTTGTGTAGTTTGTCCTTTTTCCAAAATTATTTTCCTGTGTTTTCTATTCATGTCTCCTCAGTTATGAGATTTTCTACCAACCCTCTGCCCACACTACGGGCAAGGACCCAAGGGACACTATGTCATCCATAGGATTTGTTACATAGACTTAAAAATGTGTGATTATTGCTGGTGCTGGATGACAAACTGGTCTTGATCATTCCAGATATAGTTGTTCTCAGATCCATTCTTAAAAGCATTTTGAGTGTAGGAAGAGAGAAGTACTTCCTAGTTTGGTAAATTCCCTAGCATACCTTTATATTTCGGTCCTGTGTTACATAAGAAGTTCAAATGAATTATAATGTCAAGTGCATTATATTATGTTAATCTGATCTAGCTTATGGGTGGGAGGATAGGAATTATTTTTCGAGCTCATGAAAGTTTATCAGTCCATGTCACAGCATCCATGGGTGAGCATCTTGTTGGAAGTTATTTTTTAACCTTCCTTGTGTGGAAACTCGTCACCAATTATGCTGGAGTTCATTGCTTTCTTGGCCATTTTACATATCGTGTCACAACCTCACCATAATATTAGCAAATGATAATGGAGTTTCTCAAGTATATTGTAAATGATTTGATTTTTCTGTTCCTTGCTTTCCCCTTTGTAGGAGTTATTGCTTTTTACGTTTTTTTATTTTGCGTTGACGTGTGTCATGAAGTCAAGGTAGACCAAATGGTAAGTAATCTTTTTTAACTAGATGAGTTTGTTATGCAATGACCATATATTTATAGGTCCAGGGACTCCATTGGTGACAAATACAAAGAAGAAAATGATAGGTGCTATCTTCTATTGGTCATGTCCTTTTACCAAAAGCTCATTACATATATCATGCTGAGTGATTTACTTTTTTTGGACAAATTAGACCGATAGTCCCTACATTTTGCCTCTTGTGTGATTTTGGTCCCTACACTTTTAATTAGCTCAATTTTGATTTAGATTTTGTGTCAATTTGGTCTAATTAATAATGCCGTTAGTGTTTTTTATGAAAAATTATCACGAAATTGGTTAAAGTTGACTTACTAAGTTGAACAAGTTTATAATTTTGCCTTGAAAAGCATGACACGTCACTTATGTGCATTTTTTATTATCAAAAAATGCTAACAATTGTAAGCAATTGGATTAAATTGAGACAAAGTCATAAATTCAGGGTCGAAATCGAGCCAATTGAAATTATAGGGACCAAAATTATACAAAGATCAAAATACAGGGACTATCATCATAATTTGCTCTACTTTTTTTTTTTCTAGCTACCATTTTTCTTTCGTCCAGATATTTCAAATTTTGGTGGGAAATTTTTTTTGAACTGGGAATTTTATTTATTTATTTTTTTTTGGAGGAAAAACTGGAATTTGGTTGTGTGATGTATCTTTGTTCACAGATAGTGCTAAAATATGAGGTTACCTGGAAATTATTCTGAATTCTTAATCATCAATTGTTCTCAACGATTTGGCTTGCCCATGAATTCTAATCTTGGTTATCAATATACTTCGCTGTTGATTACATGTCCTAGGTTTGTGTCTATTTGGTTCTGACAGAAAGGCCCCTGGAAGGTCTTCACCAAATTTTTGTATGATAAATTTCACGTTCTTTTATAAACTTCCAGTGTTTTCTTACTTAAGCAGTCAGGTTAATAACCTGTGGTACATGATGTTGTACATGCAGATAGTGAAAGCTAGAGCTTCGTTGACACAGGAGTTGCAGAACAGAACCAAGGCAAAGCCAGAACAAGACTGGTCTGGAAGGGACGCGTCATATTCAAATGACATAGCTAACGTATCACATGAGAGAAGCAATTCTGTTCCTACTGATGCTCAATCTGAACCTGTGCCCCTTGAGACATCTGCCATCAAACAAACCACTTCGACGGAGGATGCTGATATTGAGACAGAGAAGCACCAAGTGCACAGTACTGAAATCCCAATCATAGACAAATCTGTCATTGAGGAAGGGCCAGTAAACTCAGCCAAAGAACAAACTCTGCATTCTGATGCTTCCTCTAGAGTGTTGGTAGAACAATATGAAGATGATGGTGATGATTGGTTGAAGGATGAAAGCTCAGAGATAGTCAGTGCTGGAGGAACAACTATCCCTGTTGAGAATGAAGAGGATGTGTCATTCAGTGATCTCGAGGAAGATGATGGGGATGTTCCGACAAGTTACAAGAAAATGACATACGGATCCGATTCGTCGACAAAAGAGTCGCGAAATTGGGTTCAGTTGAGCAGGAGCTCAAGTGACTCAACTAAGGATGTCAATGCTGTTAGTGTTGAACGTGCTGGATCCACTACAAGAAAAAGAGGATATCACCACGTTTTTTTTCCTGACATTTTTGAAAAACGTCGTGAAATCTCCTATATTTTTTCTCCTTTTGAACAAATTTAATTACTCATCTCGTTTTGTACGCCAATATTAAAAAAATTGTGAAATAACATTTAGAGGCAGGACTTCTCTGATCAAAAGAGAGGCGTGACTTCAGAGAACACAGCGTTACTTTTGAGAGAGAGAGAGAGAGAGAGGCAGAGAGAGAAATCAAGGCCTTGGATCTTCGATCTCCATTGATTCTTTGGTTGTATGATCTGGAAATGCTTGTTCTACACTTGATTTGAGCGTTTGTCTGTAATATTGTTTGAATCCCTCTTATCTAAGTCGATCTAGGGCTCAAGGTTAGAGTTTTTTGATATGGATTTGCTACATTCACACAAGATCTGTAGACTTTAATGGCTTAAACTAACGATTTATGGTTGATTTCTAATTTCTTTTCTTCTGTTTTGTATTTTCTCTTTTCAAATCGATTTTTCTAGGGTTTTGAGGGCCGTGTTAATGTCTCTGATCATGTACAGGATAGCAAGCAGCGTTGGATCTGGATCATTACCAACAGTGAGTCGAAGCAAGCTCAACGACGTAGAGATGTAGATCTTATTCTCAGATCTGCTCTCTATGTCTCTCCGATCTGATATTATGGTAATATCAAATCTACTTTCTCAATCTTTCCGATCGAATTTCACATATTCTCTTCATTGCTCTATGAGATTTGGACCTTTGTCTCTCTGTTTTTGATTGAAGCTCATTATCTTTGTCACTTTATTACATTTTCCTTATAGAAAATGTCAAAACAGTATAGAAATAGAACGATTGGTGAGTGAGTTTGAAACTTCTTTATCTATTTGAACACTCTAGTATTTCATCACTTTTCAATTTTTACTTTAACTTGTTATGTTTTAATAATTTTCAATTAATTTTTAAAACGTAAAGATATAGAACGATTACATTGAATTTATATTAAAATTTAAAATTTTAAGTGTTATAATTAAAAGTTAAAGGATCAAAATTTGACGGTGAAATTTGTAATTTACTCAGGAAAAAAAGAAATTGGACCAAAGTATAAAAATGAAAAAAAAATAAAAAAAGAGGTTTGCATTACATGTTTTTTTTTTTATTTTTTTTTTTTATGATTGTGTGATTCTGATTCATCACACTTAAAAGGACTTGCAATTTCATTGGTTTTCTTCTTCTTCTTTTGTTTGATTATCATAGAAAATCGAGAAGTACAAGTAATTTTATTTCCCCATTATTAATTTTTTTTCTCAACAAATTCAAATTCCAAACATAACTTAGAAATGTTTTGATTTTGGGTGTGATGTCAAGGTATGTATCAATAGATGAGAATCCTGCAAAACAACTCTTCTACTACTTTGTCAAGTCGGAAAGACAGCCATCGAATGATCCGGTCGTTTTGTGGCTTAATGGGGGGCCAGGGTGCTCTAGCTTTGATGGGTTTGTTTATGAACATGGTACTGCATTCTTGAAACACATCAATTTTGGAATTCTCAACTTATCTGTTGTTACAATAGCTTTACTTATTGTATCTGTACACAAATATTAGACTGTAAAATTGTTTTTCAAATGTGTGAGAAATTAAATTCTATTTAGAATACAAGGTTGATTGAGTTACCATTTTGTCCGCAATATGTTGTCATGATATACATGAAATGGGTTGTTTGGACATTTTTGAGTTCTTGTACTACTAACACATTTGATTTACATATTACATCAGCCAAGTAAAATTTGTTATGTGTATAAAATGTTTATTGTGCAACCTTACAGAACCATTCAACTACGAGGCAGGAAAACGACACGGAGAACTGCCCATATTACATCTCAATCCTTATAGCTGGTCCAAGGTTGATAGTTCTAAAATGTATGTTTATATTCTGAATGAATGTAAGAAACTTTTAAAAACCGCTAATTAATTATGTTTATATTTAAAAATGTTTTTGTTTTTCACTTCCTGTCATGGTGACTATCTAGGTTATAAAAGATGATACTTCTGATCTTTCCTAGTGGATGAATTATCTTTTGAATGGAATTAGTTGATAACAATGATGCCCCCTTGTGAACACATGGCGGAATGCTATGCCTATTACACAAGTTATCACTTGAAACTTTATGATTTGATGTCCTTTAATTGATTCTGCTGTTTGTCTTCTAAATTGATTTAATGCTTGACTAATAGGATGTGGTGTGGCACTTATAGAAGTATCCCCACCAAGAATGCCATTGGTTGAAATACAGCTCCATAGGAAACTTCTGGAGGAGTTGTTGGGTAATATGAGTCATTCATCAGCCCAGGTAAGAAATACTTCTTTACATATTTTTGGTCAATTCTCAGATCATGTCACTATAGTTAATATACATTAATGGATCAAATTGATGGTTCTCATCACACACATACTCATTTAGTGTATGCTAATGCTTGAAATGGTGTGTGGCCTTGCTACATTCAAGGAGGTTTCTTCTATAACAAATATATGATGCACATCGGCAAACATTGCATTATCAACATGAATGATCGAAACTGAATTTTTTTCTTTCTTTATTTATTTAGACTAGAATTTCCTTGTTTTTATTATCAATTGACTTGAAGCTTCTTTGTTGACTCATTTATTTGGTATATTTTAATTTTTATTAGCAATGTCAAACATTATTTAGTTTTGTTATTTGAGTTAAAACCTTCTTAATCCTTTTCTTTTTTCCTTATATTTTTTTCCCTTCAGCTCATTTGATGCATGCTTATGGTTCTTTGAGTAACACAATTTTCTACAAAATTCCAATCTTATAACATATTTCTAGATATTCTGTTACTAGTTCTCATTATGTACCTTCATTCTTGCAAAACTATCACTTTTTCTGATCTACTTTTTCTGATCTAACCTCGTAAGAAAACCAACAGAGCTAATTTTGAAAATAGAGAAACCTTTTAATGTTGCATACTTAATCACTACATCATATGAAGCTTGATTGTGGGGAATAACTTGCCAAAATATATTTAGTTTATGCTTTTGGTGTACGAACATGTTTCCCTTTAAGACCCACGCGTTATTCATTCTTCTATTCTAAGCAAAATAAAATCCAATTCAACCAATTAGTATATTGTCATTACTGTACAATATCCTAAGCAATGCAAAGCTAAAAACTGAATGCTTCGTCATTGCTGCTTCTATTTTGCAGGTTCTTATACAGAAGACCAGCTGACTTCAATGGAACCACAATGGTCGACAAGTTATCCATGCTGCCTTCTTCAAAGGCAGTCTTTACTATGCATTCGGCTGATGGATAATCGCAAGAAGGGAATAGCTTCAACATTTCATAACCTTTGGAATGCCTCACGGTTAGCTTTTCGTATATTCCCTCAGATGAAACCACTAAGTAGCTGTCGTTTCTGGTTAACTTTTAAGATGAGAGCTTATTGTAATGTGTTTCTGCTTGTTCAGACTTAAATTACGAATCTCTTCAAATTGTGTAATGTATAAAGCATCATAATAGATTATATAAGTTAGTACTTTCTTTAATACTACATAAGCAAGAGTTAAACAAACCTCTCTTCTGCAGCAGAAATGAGACCAGCTGTCAAAGCAACACCACCAAACTAAAACAAATAACAGTATCATTAATTCTATGCCAAAACTAGTATATGTAAAGTAGTACTCTGCGCAATTTACACAAACTCCGAAACTAACCAGTTGTATGCTACAAAATAATTTTCTTTGGAGGTCTATACGCCCTGTCAATAGAGAACCAAACAGATAACTCTTGATGTAAATCTTCCCCTATGAGAGCATATCACTTTTGAAAGCAATCTACCTGTTGAAAGAATGCTCTTTGTGATAGCTTCTGCAAGGCCAATGCAATCTTCTTTCTTTGGTTTAGATTGAAAAAATGAGTAGCTGTCCCACATTGGGAACCCACCATTAATGCTGGAATACAAACCATCTGACATATCACTTCTTCTTGGAAATTCCATATGCCATGTATCTTCCAGCATATCTTCATAGTCATTAAACCTAGTGAAGTAAAATCAGTATGTTAGAAGGTAGGAGAAAGAAAAAGGAAAAAAAGTAATTCAGCACAAGTAACTTAACAATGTAAAGCCATAAATCTTGAAAGTTACACACCAAAAACGGGGTGGAGGAGGATGCACATCTGGAACCAAAAGCATAGGGTAGAACACACCCATAAGGGGAACCTATTTTAACAAACTATCAGAAAATAATTGCATTCTCAAAAAAACTGCATTATATTCTTCCTACTACAGAAAGACAGCCAAGCTGAACATTTATCAAGGAGACAAATGCAACAATATTAAGGTCCAAACAGACATACATTCAGAGCTGTTAGTCTGGTCTTATGAGATCCAGCAGGCATGCCATCTTCATATGAATGAACTACAGCAACAGCTTTGATTGAATTGGGTTTTATATGTTTCTGGTTTTTATATGAATGAACTACAGCACTGCCTTCTTGCTCAAAACTATATCTGTTGATTCTTTGTGGAATTCTTTGTTTAATATATACTGCAGGAATTTAAGTTCGAAGAGTACAAAAGGTTAAGAAATGCTATCCTCATGGATTTCATGGAGTTGATAAGTATGGAGACCACTAAATAGAAAGGGTTGGAATGGTAGATCTTATGCCTTTTTGCAAATAACTACTATCGATAGATTTATGAAGTATCACGTGTCTGAACAAGAGAAAACATTGAATACCCTGCATGCTCGGTATCAGCAAAGAAGCATATAGCTTCCACCACAAGCATCTTAGATGTGAAGGGTGTGGTGAGCAACTCAACTTGTTTTTCTATTTTTCAGTCTTATTATGCAAACACATTAATTTGATAGTGTCTTTAGTTCTGTTTGGATGCTGAATATAGTTCTGATTGTCTTCAATAATTGTTTGTCAAACATTGTAGGTTTCATTATGTAAAAACATATGTTTAATCTTGAAAAACATCCTTGGAAATTAGGAATTATAATTATTTTCCATTGGCGCGGTTACAGGTTAGATATATTCATCATATTGTAGTTATTACTATTCGCTTAAAAGAATTTTAGAAAGAATGAATATAGAAGTTAAGACTTCGCGTTCAGATTTGATATGGAATGTTAGGAAAATGATTACACTGCGAATTATAAGCTGAACAAGAGTCACATGTTCAGCAGTCATGGTTTTGTGTGATGTGGGGCCGACAACCTTTACAAACGACTGCCAAACACGTGAGTCCTGCTCGGATTGTAAACACTACCTGTCTGTAGGTATTAATCTCTCTCT